GCTTGGTGCCAGGGTCTATGATTGAGATGGTTGGAATCCGTTTAAGTTGGAAAAAGGGCCTAGTTACAACCCCCATCCCACCAAATTGCCCAATGTCAGGCCCTTGTTTTTCTCCTGCTGTGAGTTAGCTCTGTTATGAGGGGTGGTTACCTGAGGACTTAAAGTCTCTGTGATTCATACCAAGGAGTAAATTAAGACCACATTCTGTTAATGCTGCTTACAGGGCCTGAGGTCTCTCTACAGAGCATTGGGAAAAGCACGAACAGCTATCACCACAGTCTGGATTCTTGGAACGTATTTGCAAATTATGTAGAGTCCTAGAACTCCTTAGGATTGAACTGTAGAATCATTTTTTTTGAGATTTTTGTGACTCCATTGTCTTTTACAAATGGTCAACTCTCTTTATACTCCCTTATATCGAGAGGTTCTTTTGTTATATTGAAGAAAACTGCTTTTAAAGTCAGTTTTTGATTTACAGGTAACATGACACATCATTGTAGCATTTTTAAATTCCACAAAGAAAAATCAACGCTAGATCCAGTGTGTTAAAAGATGCAGCCAAGCTTTTATTACTTCATGCTGTCCTTATCTAAACATTTTTTGGGCTTACTGTACAATCTCCAGGAGACTCTAAAGGAATAATTATCCAATGAAAGGTTGACCCTTCAATTTAATGTATATCTTTGAAGGTTAGGATATTGGTTTACAGGACAGTATTGGAGTTTTCAAATCTGATTCTGAGACTGTTACCTAGGAAATTGATGAAATTGAGACATTATCAAAATAGATGAAAGATGCTCAAGGCATTTAGAGAGAGAGAAGGAACTTGGCCTGCCTGTCACTTCTCCCCAGGTGACATGAATGCTGTTATTAAGACTGACAGGCCTGCAGAGGTAAGCCACCTGACCGCCGGCCGCTTGTGCCCTGGCAAAGGGTCAGAGCCAAGGATGTTGTCATCTTGACTCCTCAGTGAAAGTGGGTATGAGGGGTGCAGTCTGGTAACGCTCACCTGTGTTAGCAAGCCCTTTGTAGAAATCAGAATGAGAGCAGGGTCGGTTTTGGTTAACTGTTATTGTATTTTCCTATTTCTAGTCCCGATTGTGAGAATATGCAAATTACAAGAAATGCATTTGAAATAGCAGAGAGAGGGGAGGCGGGGGCTGGAGGTGGGGCAGTGAGTGATTGACAGACTCTCCCAGAGAAGGATGCGCTGCTTGAAGTCTGAGATAGGCCCGGGGTCTCCTCCTGACCGGCTAGTAGGCACGCCTGCTTCACACCAAAGCACCGCTCAGGAACACCATGCTGTAGCTCAGTGCCCAGGGAACCATGCCCGGGGCAGACAAACGGAGTGAAAGGACCGCTTCCCTTCCAGAAGTTCTCCATGAACATTGATTTCTTAGCTGAGTCTTAGCTGTTGGGCAGCATCAATTTCAATCTAGTAGTCAAGTGTAAAGGAATTGGGGTGTTACATTCTGTGTTATCCCTTAAAAATGGACCCATTTGCTTTAAGAACAGTTGGGTGGATAGACATCATTTTTATAAAAATTTAAGGCTCTGTTCTCCATTTCTGTTTTTTGGGAAAGTTTTTTAAAATCTGTGAACCCACTGTTCAAAGGCTTTCTCCACATGATGCCTTCCTGCACTCACCCCAAAGAGCTAATTGTTTTGTACATAATTTTATTATCTCATATGTACTCATCTCATACACATTATCATCTCACTTAGCACACTGTATTCTAATTCTGGGGCCTGTGTCCCCTGCTAGGCTAGGAGTGCCTCAAGATTAGGGGTGGGTCTCAGTTGTCTTTGTTTTCCCACAGACCCCAGGACAGGGTCTGACACAACAAAGAACATGTATAGTGAGTATTCCATACACATTACATGAACGAATGAATGCTATCCCAATTTTAGAGTCTAAATACATCTTGGATATAGGCAAATATTATGGATGTAGGCCTTAAAATTGGGGTGTGGTGTTCATTGGTAATTCTTGTTCCTTTTTTCTTTTTGTAATGGAGTAGCCACCTGATGTGTTTCAGGGTGATCAGACTTGCTCTGTTAAATTATTGCTTGTTGGTAATGAGAGGTGACAAGTGCCGTCAGTGTGGCAGCTTTGGCTCCAAGGTCATCTTTTTCCTTTGCTTGATTGTAAGCAGGTTTTACAATTTAGGATGTTAGCTTATGAAACCTGGTGGCTCATGTTTATTATTTATGTTCTGGGACATTTATCATCATCTGACTTCTGTGACCCCTGGTCTCCATTTGGATCAAATGATATTTGTGGACGGCAAATGTTGGATTGGTGTTTAGCATATCTAATGTGAAGCTGATTGAACAGCTTCACTGAATCTTGACCCTTCTTTTTTTGCTGCAAAATTGTAATTTTTAACTTGTCTCAGACTCTTCATTATATTTTTCCACCTCACCAATCTGATTGCCCTTAAGGAAAGAGATTGATTTTAAAATTGTACATATTATCATTAATGTGAAATTTTTGATACGTTAATCAGTCTTTGTTACATTTAGTTAAAAGCTTCCTTCCTAATATGTTTACCTTTCTTTTTTAACATTCTAGAGAAAAAAAAACCCCCAAACCCCAAAACCAATCCCCCTGCCCCACCCCAAAAACTCCAAACAAAACAAAAACAAAACTGAATTGGTTTGAAGAGTCGGTTTATAACATTTATTTTTTTTGAGTAGATGCTGTGAGGAGAGACAAACTCTCTTTCAATTTGTTTCTTACTAGTTTGAAGATGAGATGAAACAGAAAGTAGTAAATCCAGAGGCCCTTTCCCTTCCCTTCCCTCCTTTCCTGCCCCAAGCACTTAGTGAATGCCCATGTGTAACTGTGATGTAATGCCTGATATTAGTTGCCTTGCATGGGAGGGACCTGGGAGACTGGGAGAGACTCTAATGGCCTAACTCCAAGTCCCCTCCCTGGAGTGTCCTCGTGGGAAAGGTCCCCAGCCAAGTAATCCTTCGGGACCCTGGCTAGCTGGCATCTTGCTTTTGGCCTTGTAAAATCTGGAGCAAAGAAACCAAATGATCTACAGAGCTTGGTGATAATGAATGGCTATTATTCTTCCAGCCACTGAAACCTAATACAAGTGTTTTGGTTATTTGTGGGTTTCCCTTGGTTTTATTTTCTCTGAAAGGTCTAGGGATAGTCATACTTTTATTTAACATGCATGGCAAGAAAGAGCCTGCCCACCTGATCTTTCCATTTCATGGGAAGTGTCTGTTGCTTTACACACCTAGAGGAAAGGTCTGCTCTGTGTCCAACATGCAGCTTAACGTTTGGATTGATTTTGCTCTATGTGGATGAATCAGCGTTTCCCTAGGATCCATTATTTTAACACCTAAGCCACACCTTTATTCACTGTGGGCCCCAGAAGCACTTCACTGATATAGCCTCTGTTTCTAATACCTTTTTTATTTTAAAAGTGAGTGATCCTAAGCCTTTAAAAATTGAGAAACGATAAGGGCCAGAATAATGAATATTGTATTTTAAGTTGCTACACTTATATTGGTTACTTTACTTTTTTAAAAAGTTGAAAAATGGAGAATGCTATATATGTGGCAAAGAATGAAGATGAAGTGTACAGAATAGAGTTTAGTACTATAGTAAAATGATTCTGGCATATATTTAGTGTGAATAATTTTTACATGATTAGGAATAAAAGGCAAGGGGATTATGTATGATATTATAATTACCCAGTATAATTACTACTACTGTTATATAGCAGAGCAAGCATTTCTGCCCCCAGTGGAGGGGCACAGAAGGGGGAATTGGCTAGAAGGTTTGCTGGGTCTTCTTTTGTGACCCGTGATTCCTGATCCAGGGGTGTCAGGGTAGTGTGAATGTTTCCACCCGGGCAAACCCAAGAGAGCTGGGAATTAAGTGGCTCAAGGCAGGCGAGCTCCTACCTTCCTGCTGTGAGAATTGGCCCTTCTTTATTCAGGAATGTGAGAAAATGGAAACTGGGTTGCTTGGCCCTTAGGATCGCCAACATTTGGCAAACACAGCGGGGCGGGAGGTTCTGTATCTTCCTGTCGGAATGAGAACCGGGAGCCCTCTCTGTGTGTGTTCGCTTCTCTCTTGCTCTTCTCCCAGAGAGGCAAAGCTGAAGGCTTGTTTCTTTTTCTTTCAGTGATTTTATGTCATAAAGGTGGGATTTAAAGGAAGGCCGCTCCCTAGGGCCCCAAATTCTCTTATCACTGTCTGAAATTCTGTTTTTGAAAGATTAATTTGAACTAATCAGCAAGTAGTTTAGATGGGCCAACGGCACTTAGTAAGGAAGACCCACACACATGGATAACCATCACTAACGGGTGTTGAACACTTAGTATGAGCCAAGGACTGCTCTACAGTCTTGACACAAATTAACTTACTTAATCCTCACAGCACGTGTGTGAGGAAGGTTCAGAGATGCCCAGTAATTTGTTCCAAGTTACGTGGTGATGATGAGGGGAGAGGCAGGACAGAAGCCTGCTGGGGCTGCGCAGGGACTTGCACCCCTAGCCACTGTGCTGAGCTGCCTTTCCTGGGTACTAATGAGGATGTGACTTAATTTGCTTTCTTCATAACATCCAGCAGCCATACCTGTGAGGGGTGGGATGGGAAGTGAAGAGGGTGAGGGCATTTCAGGAGGAGCCATGACCATTGGGAGGTTGTGATAGGGACTTTGGAAAGAGACTAGGGGGGCATTCTCTGGGGCCAAGCATCTTGATATTACTGACCTTGTAACCAGTGTGACAATTCAACCAGTAACCTAGCAACTACTGTTTCTCTCCTCTTCTTCTCTATGAACGACACCAATTTTCTTTCTGTGTTCTAGCTGCAGAAAGCGCCTGTTTGTTTCTGTGTGTATATCAGTTAAATGCTTTACTTAATAAGTATTTAAATGCCATTTAAAATAACACCTTGAAAATATTCTTAAAGTGAAGGCCAATGAAAAGCAACTAATTTCTGTAATTACCCTTTTTTTTTCATCACACAGTATTGGCTGGATCCTGCAAAATCCCTTGCTGAGCACAAAGAACTGATCAACAGTAGGTATTTACTTTTATCTTTGTTAAAAAGGTGCTTTGAAAATGAATATGATGTGGCTGATTAGTTGGGTACAGAAGTAGGTTTTAGTGCTACAGGGATGAGTACTAGTACATGAGCACCATAATGTGGAAACAGGTGTTGGCTCTTCCCCAAACTGACTCAATTTTAGTTGATAAAAACTCTTGAGTGGCTCATAGTATTGACTTTGGCTTGAGGTATACCTGCCCTTGACTTTTGTCTGTGGTTTTTCTATTTGCTTTCTTTAAAATTTCAACTTAAAACAGAAAAGGCAGAAAGGTGCTGATGTGAAAATAGGTGGACATCTGACCTTTGAAAGAGTTTGAGTTTTCTGGGCTAAGGAGTGGTTTTGTCATGTCACATTATTCAGTGTGCTTAGTCAGTAATTAAGGAGTGCCCTCTGTCCTGAGAGATATGAATGGCTTCAGAAAGGACCCATTTATTTTCAGGGGATAGCTTTTGATTTCACCAATACCAATCTTATTAGTTGACTGAGAGTATAATTAAGGTTATATTCCACAACCTTAATTCCCACAATCCAAGGTTTTACTTATAAATACACATGTATGCATGTGCACACACATACACAGTGGTCCTTAAGTGTGCAGGAGTAGTTATTTTTAAAAATTATCTTCTTAAAAATATGGTAAAATGTATCACATAAAAGGTACTATTGTAGTCTTCTCTGAGTGTACAGTTCAGTGGAATTCAGTACATTCACATTGTTGTGCAACCATCACCACCATCCACAACTTTGTCTTTGTCCCCAGCTGAAACTTTGCACTCATTGAGCCATTTTGCCTGAATGTGTAAATTATTGCTAGGAAGACCTAGTGCATTCTTCTGGCCTTTACTACCCCTGCTCTCACTGGCTGCATGTGTACCGGCTCATTGCCTGTGGTAACACTGAACTGAAGCGCATGGTGCTTCACAGACCCCAAGGGCATGAACATAGCTGTGCCTCAGAAAGGAAATGGAAACCAGGACTGCAAAACCATCAGGAACTCAGCAAGTACTGTTTCTGTGAACATCTGCATTGCTTTTGTTTCTCTCTGTGGACTGGCTGTTTCTCCATGTCTCTGGTAGAAACCTCTACAGTTTCCACATTATAGCTTCCAACCACAAGCAGAGGCTGACTGGTTGTCTATAAACTACAATTCCAAATTCTAGGAGGGTGAGTCTTACCGGATCAATTTGAGTCAGTAGCTTACCTCAGTCCCCTCAACTGTGTCTGAGTTTTTTCAAGGTCAGTTCAAATGTAGCTGCTGGGGGGCCAGTCTTCTGGGTGGGATCACAGATAGGTTTCAGAGATGGGAGCTGGTGGTCTGTCTGATGAGATGGAACCCTCAAAATATGTAGCTTAGACATTATCAAGTTTTGCCTACTTAGCCTACATGGGAGTAAATTATATTCATAATGGGCTCACGACTTGGCATGGATGAGAAGCTAGCTGCTAGCAGAGGGCTGACCACAGCTCTGATGTTCTGGCTTCCAGTACCATGTTTTCCCTGAGTGAGCAAGCTGCCTACTAAAGGCCAAGAGGGTATGAGGTTATATGTGATTAGCTATGAATGCAAATAACTTCCATGAAGTATCCTCATATAAAGGATTAAGAGTTCCAACCTTAAAAGTCTCATCCCTCAGGATCTAGAAAGCTACTTTTCCCAAAGATTCAGAAATGGTAGTAAATACAGTAAATATCTATTTTGTCCATTTCAACCAAATACTTAAAAAATACCAGTTTACAAACTAGAAAAATTTCAGAAATGACTATGTTCTGAAAATGAACTTACAGGTTTTTTGTTAAAAAGTTGAGATTTCTATCTAGGCGATGAAGAGAAATGTAACTTATTTTACTACTATTAAAGTATTCCTATGCACATTTAAAGTATCTATCTCTTTATGTGGTGTGAAGTACTCTATTTAAATATCTATAATCTATAATACAGCTGTTTCTCATCCTAAATAAATGTTGCCCTGTCACAAATTTGATGTTCAGTAAGAATAAAACATTGATATTACAATTAAGGAAAGATTATGTAACTAAAGAATACATAATCTTTCTATTTCATCTTAAGAAATAGTTTGATAATAAAGGACATGGTCTCACATCTCCAGTAGATTAGTCAGAATGAATATCTGTAAAAATGATTGATTCTTCACGAGGATTCTCATAGTTAAGTCTTGATTTATTTATCTCCGAGCTAATGCAAGACTATTAGCATTAAAGGCACTGAAATTAGTCTTCATGAAAGGTAGATTAGAGGATTCCTGATTTCTGGCTTCTGTACATTATGTTAAAGTGAAACAATTCTAACTTAGTTTACATAAGGATTTCTTAAAGGTAGACTCTGTGGAAAGGCATGGATTCAAGATAAAAATAATTTAGGAATTTGTCTCATTAGTGCCTGGCTTTTTTAGTCAGTCCTAGCATAGGAAGCTAGACATATTCTTGTTCCAAATTGTCCATTTCCATAGCTTTAGATTGATCTATAATACAATGTGATGTATATGAAAGTGTTTGCTTATCCTAAAGATATGACAGTTTTTTTTCCCTGAGAGGTTGTATGTTCAGTGGCCAGAAAGCACAAAACTCTAGGTATTAGCCGACTTGGTTCTTATCCTTGTGATCTTAAGCAAGTTGCTTACCTCCTTGAAGCTTCACCTGCCTTCTGTGTTACCAGGTGGTTGTTGAGAATTGAATTTTTATGAAATATTTTTTTGCACATTATCAAATGGTAATGATACCTTATATTTAGAACACAAACCATTTTATATACAAATGAGAAATAGCTGATTTCAGCCAAATGTCTTTAAGGGAAATTAGCCAAAACCAAATGTTTTTAATTGTGTATTTTTAAAATTTCTATTTAATTGCTCATTACTAAACCCATTTGAGGTATCTGGGCTTGGGCAATAGGGTGTAATCTGTCACATTCCAGAGAATAAAGGCAACTCTGGAATCAAGACAAGGCCTTCTTCCCTTTGTGTACTGTCTCAGGAGCATCTGTGCTTCTCCCGTTCCCTAGATGCCAACCTCAGTGGCCTGCGGGCACAGGCGGACCCATCTGCTCACTAACACAGAGCTTGATTGACAGAGATGGTGCACTCTCTGGTTATTCTAAATATTTAATAGTCTGCACCTCCCTGACATTATCTTCAGGGATAAAAGTGTATTTGTTCAGAAATCTAAACATGATGATTAAGTAAACATAGAAGTTGAATATGTGGAACCAACTCTAATGATAAATGATAACAAAGTTTCTTTTAAAATGTAGTTTTTCAAAAAGTTCTAGCGTACGGAGCGCCTTGTACAGAGAGGCACAGACGAGGGCAGAGGAGCAGGGCCCTGGTGTTGGGTGTCTCCGTTTGCTGGGAACAGGGCTTTGAGTTCTGCAAACACAGCATGTGTGTGTCATAATAATAATATATTAATAACATAGTCTGTACATTAGAAATGCATATGACTTTGTTACCTGTTTTTCCACTTAATTTCCTTTCCCCAACTTCTAAATTTGTTACTTGATTTACTCAGTTAAAAGTGAAAATGTACTCAGGTTGACTTTATGTCAGTTACAAAGTATCAGAAACTTGGGATCAGAATGTGTAAGTGGAAGTATTTTTCCTGCAATGTATACTTCACATCTTCCCTTTGTGTGGGAGAGCTTTTGTTGAAGAAAACATTAGAAACTATGAGCACTAATAGATAAAGCTATTTAAAAACAGATTTAATATGAGATTGAGTTCCCACACTGCTTAGGATCATACAGTTTTGGAAACACCTCAGGTTAGATTCATACCCTCTGTAATAGAAATATTTCTAGTAATAGTGTAATATTAGGTGGTTGGCACCCACGGGCCTTGTGTTCTCTTGCACAATATGAGTGTCTAATTATATCTTATATTTGCCTGTGTAGGGATACTTCCAGACTTTGTTTCATACGTATATTTGGTGTTTGTGCACATAGTTCTGTATGTGGCAAATGACTGAGATGGGAATATTTTCTTAAATATGTAAGAATACAGTCTTAGAAAAGTTTGAGACAAATATTGCCCCTAATCCTACCACATAACCTTGCTGATTTTTTTTTCTTCAAAGGTAAGACATATATAGTGAAGAAATTTATAACATTTCTTTTGCTAAGATACAATTTAATTGATTTCAGTGAAAAGGAAAGGTAAATATTTGAGGTGATAAATGTGTTAATTAATTCAATGGTGGGGGTGAGGGAAATCCTTTCACAATGTATACCTATGTCAAATCATCACATTGCACACTTTAAATAAATAACAATTTAATTTGTCAATTATACCTCAATGAAACTGGAAAAAAAAATTTTTTTCCAGTCCCTCTTCCCAAAGTTTGTTATTGTTAGTAATTTCCTATGTATTTTTCATATGTAAAAATTCCTAAAGAATTTTATCAGGTAACTTTCTTTTTCACAAAAGTAATTAGTTAGAAATATAGATGGGTGCTTTTTCCCCATCAGCACATAGAGTTGTCCCTCTGCCATTTAAACAGTGGCACGATGCCATGTACATGCCCTGTGGTTGATTTAAATGGCCCACCTGGTTCTTTGCAGCTATTTGTGTGTGTATGTGTGTGTGCTTCATGCAATAGTGATAGGTGGATAGTTTTTAAAACAATTTATTTTTTTATCAGTAATCTTCCTTCATCATGAAAAAACACATGTATGTTGTAGAAAATGTGAAAAATGGAAAAATTATAAATAAATAAAAATTGTGTATAACCTCACTAACCAGGCACTCTAGTCTGTTTGGCCCTCTCTTTTTTGCTTTGTCTGTGAACCACAGACCCATGCATACACAGATGCTTGCAAAGTTGAAGTACTGTTACTCAATTCTGAACCCTGTTTCTTTCATTTTGTATCATATTGTGTCTTTAGAAATTCTTGGTGAGTTTTGAAACAACTTTATTGAGATATCTTTGAGATACAAAAATTGTATATATTTAAGGTATATTAACTTGATGTTTTGATGTACGTATACATTGAGAAGATCACCACAATCAAGCTAAATAACTTCTCTACGTAGTTATCTGTGTGTGAAGGGGTTGGTGGCCTGAGAAAATTTAAGATCTGTCCTCTTAGCAAATTTCAAGTATACAATACAGTGTCATTAACTATCTATCACCATGGTGTACAGCAGATTCCCAGAACTCAGTTGTCTTGCAGAACTGAAACTTTGCACCCTTTGACTGACATCTCACCACTTCCCCCTCTGCCAAACCCTGACAACCACCATCCTACTCTGGCACCTGTGCATGTGACTGTTTAGATCCCACATATAAGTGAGATCAGGCAGTGTTTGTGTGTGTGTCTGGCTTATTTCACTCAGCATAGTGTTCTCCAGGTTTGTCCACATTGCCACAAATGGAAGAATTTACTTATTTTTAGGGCTGAATAATTTTCCAGTGTGTATATGTGTATCACATTTTATTTATCCATTCGTTCATTGATGGACATTTAGGTTGCTTCCTTATCTTGGCTTCTGTGAATAATGCTGCAGTGAACACAGGGAGTATCTTTTCCAGATCCTACTTTCATTTCCTTTGGATATATACCCAGTAGTGGGATTGCTGGATCATATGGCAGCTATATTTTTAATTTTTTGAGAAACTTCTGTACTGTTTTTCATGATGGCTGTACCAATTTACATTCCCACCAACAGTGTGTAAGAGTTCCCTTTTCTACACATCCTCACCAACACTTTCCTTGTTTTTGATAATAGCTATTCTTACAGGTATGAAGTAATATCTCACTGTGGTTTTGATTTGCATTTCCCTGATGACTAATGATGTTGAGGACCTTTTTGTGTATCTGCTGACCATCTATATGTCTTCTTTGGAAAAACAGCCATTCAGGTCCTTTACCCATTTTTTAACTATTATTATTAGTTTTTGTTATTGAGTTGTGTGTTCCTCCTATATTTTGAATATTAACCACTATGTAGTATATGGTTTGCAAATATTTTTGGTGAGTGTAACTTTTAAAAGTTGTATAGTATTGCATTACTACTTTGACTAATTTATAATGTGAAATTAATTTCTATTTCTTATTTTAGCTGGACCTCCATATACTTTGTATTTTGGTATTAAATTCTATGCTGAAGATCCATGTAAGCTTAAAGAAGAAATAACCAGGTATAGTATTGACTTTGCTTTTGAACAGGACATGTGTGGCATATACAAAAGGCTTTATCTAAAACAAACTGGGGTTGAACATTTGGTTTTGTGTCTACCTGCATTTGTAACGTGTTGCAATGCATCTCTTGTGAGAGTTGAATTTAAACCAGCTTTGAATGAGACAGATCAGTGTGTGATGATAGATGTGTCTGAACAATGGCATGAACTGGGGTGACACGGTGATAGATTTTGCATCTGCTGTGATGAGATATGCCTGTATCATTATTGTGAAGGATGCATTCAGTCTTTGAGTCATATAAAAGTAGCCATTTGAGCTGCATAAAGGAAGGATATTCTGATGTTCAGTTTGCATATGTAAATATAAATTTGAAGAGCCAGTTATTCCTCCTTAATTGGTTGTATTTTATATATCAGCTGTCCTGGTGTTTCATTTTATCTCTATAGGAAATGAAAATATAACCGCTTTCAGTACTAAGGGAGAGAGAATCAAAGTACAAACCAAGTGTTTTATAATGTATTACTTAACCTTTGTCATCAAATATTTTATTACAGGTAAGGCAAAATTTCCAACTGATCTTGATTACATTGTTAAAATAGTACCAACATTTCAAAGTGGTTTATGAAGAACAGAAAATAGTGTTATGTTTTCATTTACTACACTAGTGACCTGACTGCACATGGCAGCAAAAACGAAACATTTTCACTAACTTGAGTCTAAGTGGTCAGTTTTCCTAGTGAACTCCTACACTGGCTCGGCCAATGCCTTATTCAAAACATTAGAAATCATATCTTTGATAACTTTGGCAGTCTGTGGTTTTATTTCTATCCCATCCTTTCATCTTTTTTCCTTACACTTTCTTTTGTCTTGATTCTGGACTGCACACAGAAGAGTGAGAAAGAGGGTGGGCTAATTGGACCTTTCCTATTCCAATCTGAAGTGCTATCATTAGATTTCATTTTTAGAACTAGGCTGATGTGTGCATTCGCATCTTTCATCACCACGCCATTAGTGAGCACTTTGAAGAGCATAGCTGCCCACTGAGGCTTCTGCAAGCACACCTCTATGGGAGAAGGGCCATTGTGTTGGAGTGATGTGGAGGAGGGGGTTCCTATTTACATTAGAATTTTATGAATAGTCTGCAGCCAAGAGGGATTTCTGAGTCATGGGCTCATGGGGAAACTGAGTCCAGGTGGTATAAAAACACGTTTTTATCTGTAACTCTTTACGGAATTGCAAGGGAGCAACATTTTATGAAAATGCAAGGAGGGCCCTTCATTTCAAGGTTGTCAGTAAACCTCTCTTGCCTCAATCTCCTCAACTGTAAAATGGGAGATGCATCTGTCCCATAAGGTTATTGTAAGTGTGAAATAAAGCGATGTATGTAAAGCCCTTACAGGAGGTGCTGTTCGGCCATAGCCAGTGCCTGATGAATGTCATACTTATTTCATCCTCTCCCTGCGTTGGCAGCGCAGTGCAGCTACATCTTAAATGAGGGGTGGGGTCTGAAAGCTACTGAATGTGGTGTTAAGGGGGAAGAAGTACATTGCTTCATATCTGTTCCCCAAATACTAATGATGAACAGAAATTTCCCTTCAGAATACACTAATAGCTCATTAACAGAATACATGGATCTGTGTATAATCTACAGCCCCACAATGTATTCAGTATGACCTGTTTTTCCTCAACTATTAGATCAAATCATATAGTTAAGAGCAAGATGATGTAGTTGGCTTGTAGTTAGTGGCCATGATCTATAATAACTTACGTTTTATTGCTTAAAACATACATTTAAATGTGGGTTAAATTTTCATTTAATATGTTATCACTCTACACTTAGTATGTTCTGAAGATAAAGTCATTAATTTGCACAAATATGTTAACTTAAATGGGTTGGCATCATGGGCCTAAAACAGGAAGTCTATTTATATGAGGTAATTTTGGCAAATGTAAGAACCAAATCCAAAAAGAAATCAACCCTATATAAGCTATTAAAGGAAAAGTACACTTAGGCCAGCATTTTCAAGCTGAATGTTTATGTTGCTTCAGTGCTTTGGGAAATTGTTCCAGCCTACTCTGTATTGACTCTTAGATTGTTTATCATTTTTTATATGAAAAACAGTGCTATATAGTAAATATGCTTACACCTATCCTTACATGTACATAGTTTTTTGATAACCATACTATTTCATACATACTATACAGACCTCTTTCACCATCTATTTATTTTACTCCTGTATGTATTCCATAATTTATTTAACAATGCCATTGTGGATGGCTCTCAAGCTTGTTTTCCTTTTTTAAATTATAGATAATGCCGCATTGAATCTTTTCAGTATATATATAATCCTATTAGATGTAGTATTCTGGAAGGATGTTTTATTTAGGGGAAAATAAAAGCTAGAGGTGAATGGAATATACAGGAAAATAAGGCTCTAGACCATGAAAAATATGTTAAAAGAATCCTATCAACTTGGAATATCTGCTATTGGCTTTAAAAGATATTCTGAAATAAGAAAAACTGGGGGACTCTTAGGTCATATATCCTAACCTCCACCCTTACAGAACATTCCTGACATGATAGCCAGCTTCTTTGTAAACATTTTTAAGATAGGAAACTTTACTGCCTTACAAAACAATAGGAAATTCAGTAAGAAATATGTCCCTGGAGCTTGTCTCAAGAGCACTAGGTTTTCTTACTAAGTCTGTGCAGAATAATCTCTCTTCTCATTGTCATTTCTTCAAATAGTTCATATCCACATGATATCTGTTAAAATTATTTTCAATTCTGATTCAAAATATTTTGACAATCTTCCATATATTCTGTGTCATTCATAGGTCTGTATCCTCTACATAATTTGATAAGCACAACAGACATATTAGTTAAGACAGGCTTTGGAGTTAGGCTGTGTGTAATCTTGAGATTGTATAACCTTTTTAAGTCTTAAGTTTTCTCATCTGTAAAATGGAATTAAAGTATTTCTTCAAAAAGATGATGGGAGGAATATATTAGATAATACATGCAACATACTTACCATAATGCAAAAATATAAGGGGTAGCTAGCATGGTAATAATGATTATTTCATGTTTCCAAATTATTGATTTAAAAAATTAGGAAAAGACTAACTGGGAGCCTTGAGAGGTAGGTCTTCCAGGTTAAAGTCAATCCATTAATCAGAAGATTTGTAGTTGTTCATTTAACTATGACTCATCCAACTACTGTCTGCCAGCCTGCATTTCTTGAATTTGAATATAAAGACAGAATTCTCTCACTCACCTACACTTCATTTGTAACTGTGGGGCACCATGCTCTGGGTACTAAGGAGATTCAGTAGTGACCAAAGAGAAAGAGGGTCTCAGTCTCTGGAGGGAGATGACAGAGAGAATGTCCATTGCTTTGCTGACATCCCTATTTGTGATGCCATTGAAAATTTCCTAAACTTCTAAGGATCTAACAAGTACTTGTAAAAAAGAAAAGAATGTTAGTTCCAAATGACTTACTTGTAATGAACACTTTTTAGCTTCTAAAAACAGGTGTTTGTTTTGTAATATTTTTAGTATTTCCTTGGGGATTGACATTGAGCTCATCAATTATTATTTTCTTGGTAATCCATATTTCTTGCTTTGGGAAGATGAGCTAGTTTTATCTCCTGTACTAGGTGAGTGACCTTCAGTTACATATTCACGTCTGGAGTCCCTGTCTCCTCTAAGTGGAGATAATGGTCCCCAGTACATCAGAGTTGAGGCAAAGGTCACAGCTGGTACGCATGCAGAGAAAATCTGTGATATTTAAAGACCTTAAGAATATAAGATGATATTATTGCTATTTTAATTCATCAGTTTTAAAGTTCTGAGGCAAAAATGTTATTGCTGATCTTTGTCACTTTCTCTTGAGAATCAGTGGATGCTTTCTCTACTGTTTTTCTTCATCTTAAGCCGTGCATGTCATTTCCCTGCAGTGTTAAATATTACATTATTAAACATTTCCTTCTGTCCCTCACATTTAAGTTTTATCCAGAATGATTAGGCTCCCATCACATGCTATGTTCCCTCTCTGTGGGAGGCAGAAACAATCCTGCCTTCTGTGCAGGCGGGTATTCTCCTCTCAGACTCTTGCATCCTGTTCAACTGGCACCAGAAATCAAACTTTGTCTTTTCCCGTATCATTTCCTCACTGGGGTCCCAAGTCACACTGAAAGGTGTGCTTCAGGTATCTTTGGTGTGAGCATTCCTGGCTGTCTTTGGCCATGGATTCTCAGGGGAGCCTTTTGTATGGGCTCCTGAAAGAATGAGGTACCTCTATCCCTTTTTTAAGCAAATCTCCTTTCCCCCTTCTTTGTACTTCTGACTCCTGCTATATTGTTAATGGTCTTCAACCACTTGTACACCCTTGGTGTCAATTCAGCTCTTTTCAGTGAACATCAGGTAAATGGAAAACTGTGATACCATAATTTCAAGACTTCCCTTGTGCTGTACTGCTTGGAGTGTTAGGATAAATGTGGATAGGGTGGAAAACGGAGAGCACTTTTCCCCAGGGCTCACCATCTAGCTTGGGGGACAGTGCATATATACCAGTATATAAATTTACATAAAAAGATAACCAATAATTACCTTATGAAGCCTCTGCTTCAGGATGTGTTCTGAAAAGCTTTCTTATTAAGTGGATTTTTTTTTACCCACTTCCCCTTAAGTGGACCATTTTTTAAAAATTAATTAATTAAATTTGTTGTCATTAATCTACAATTACATGAAGAATATTATGTTTACCAGGGTCCCCCCTTCACCAAATCCCCTCCCACAAACCCCATTGCAGTCACTGTCCATCAGCATAGTAAGATGCTGTAGAGTCACTACTTGTCTTCTCTGTGTTGCACAGCCTTCCCCATGCCCCCCCGACATTATACATGCTAATTGTAATGTCCCCTTTCTTTTTCCCCCACCCTTATCCCTCCCTTCCCTCCCTTTCTCCCTAGTCCCTTTCCCTTTGGTAACTGTTAG